CTTAGCGGACAGGGTAGAACTGCCCCTGTGTTTTTAAGGCTGTAGCTCTTTACTGGAGTAGAAAGCATTGTCTTTCTTCTGAGGGTGGTTGGTGCTTGCGGTGCCGGGGTTGAGAATCCACCCCATTGCTCCATCATACTATGCTTGTATAGCGCGTTCTGATGAATGAAAAACAGAAATGCAGACATTCGGGGGGCAGGGCACCCTCGAGGATCGAGACGGTCTCTATGCATAAGGTATTTCTCAAGGACCCTAAGCTGTCAGGGTCCGGCACCCCTGGAGAGGGTCCTACTGCCCGGGAGGACATGCCGTCGCAAGGTTCCTGTTCTGTTTGCGGTACTCATGGTCCCTTTACCCAGCCTGCCTCTACTGCAGGGTGCCAGTGCTCCCCTGACCTGTTCTCTTTTTGGTCCACCTCATCAGCACCCCTATTGAGCATGCTCCAGTGTGCACCAGCCACGCCACCACCCTGCCGCTGCCCGCTTCTGCCCAGTCGCCTGCCGCTGCCTCTCCCAGCGCAGCCTTGCCTCCCCAGGCCGCAGCCGCTGCCAATGCTGCCGCAGCCTCCGCCACTGCCTCTGCCGCCAGCCCTGTGGACAGTCCAAGGTAACCGGCCCACTTGCCAGGCCTAGTCCCGGGCCCAACCCTGAGTCCACCCTCCTGCCGCTCTGGGGTGGGGCTCAGGACTTGGGGGTCCTGAGGTGGCCAAACCCAGCACTCGGGGATGCTGAGCGTGGGGGGAGTATACCATGGGTGACTGAAGACTAACACAAGGATGGGGGCGTCACATGCATATAAGCTCAGTGCTTGGGGTGGGAAGTCAATGTTCCTGGAGCTCGGATTGGGGAGAATGAAAGTCTCCCCGTGCATCATTTCCTGGGGAAGTCAAGAGAGCCTGCCTGGAGGAGAGAGTCTTCTTGGAATGGTCATGGAAGGTAGGTCCGATTTAGGCAGAGAGTTTGGCCATTAACTTTCCCTGCTCCATCCCTCTCCTTTCTTCTGCATCAAGAAACTAGCTTGCTGACTCCATAGACCCTCCCTCCATGTGGTGGAATTTAAATCCCTATGACCTTGAGAAAGTGAGTTAACTTCTCTGGACCGTGTTCTCCTCATCAGTGCAGATGTTGAACACAACAGCCGTCTTCCAGGGCTGTGGTAGAAACAAATGGACAGCCGTCCTGCAATCTCCTCCAAGCACTGCTGGCAGAGCCCCAGAAAATACCAGAATCCCCCTTTTACAATGACGACATATTAGCATATACTCTTCGCACATCTTCCCACACATATTAAATCATCTCCAGGTGACTTATGATACCTCAAATTCATGGTCATTGAGTCCATTTTAATTCACAGCAGCCCTACAGGACAGAGAAGAACAGTTCCTGTGGGTTTGTGAGACTGTAAATCTCTAAAGGAGTAGAGAGCCTCATTTTTCTCCCATGGAATCACTAGTGGTTTTGAACTGCTGGCCTTGTGGTCAGCAGCCCCATACATAACCCACTGTACCACCAGGTGTGTTTTAGAATGCCTAATAAAAGGGAAATGCTTTGTGAATAGCACTTAAGCTCCCTTGTAGCCTTATTTAGAGGGAGTGCTCTGACCACTTCACTGATTTTGATTTGCCTTACAATCCCACCCCACCTCCAAACATTTCCAATCCACTGTTGGTTGAATCCATGGATGTGGAACCCAATGGGGGCCCAAATGGACATAAAACATGCAGCACACAGAAATGCCCCTTGTTAATGGTCACCGGTATTTCCAGTTATTCCCAGCCAAGCAGAGACCTAAAGTAGGGCAGGAGAAAAAGAGGATGCTGAGGAGTGAGAGAGGTCATTCCATAGCGGCCTCGTAATTTCACAGCTTCTGGAGCTGTGCTGTGGGGTTTGGGTATCGATGGCAGCTTCCCAGAGTTCTGCTGAGGAAGATACAGTCTGCAGCAGGGTCTACAGGTCTGTGGTAGAGCTTGAGGTGGGACTGAGGGTGGGCACACTGGCCAGCTGGCCTGGCGGCTGCCCCTCACCTCAAGCTTCACAATGTTGCCAAGGCATTTCCCCCCTCTAGCTCAAGGGGGAGTCTGGCCCCTGGCCTCTGGCCAGCAGGCACTTGGCCTGCGGCTTCGCCTCTCCACACCTGAACTTCTTCACGTAAGGGCCTTGCTTCCTACCCAGAGAAGAAACTGTGAGGTGGGTTTGAAACGGAGCTACAAGCTCTCCCCAGTCGTCTGGGGGCCCTGATGCATCCCTGAAGTCAAATGGGGAGGAAAATGCCTTCTCAATTAGGAGATGCAGAGAACGCTAGCCTCGTGCCTCGGGGTCCAGGCTTCAGGCCTCTGGGATGTTGGGACCACATCAAAGTTCTGGGAGTCCGGAGGCTCCTTTTGCCTTGGGAAGAGAGGTGGGTCTGGGAGAGATGTGGAAAAGGGCCCAGAGAGCAGTGCAATGGGGCATGAGGCTTGAGGGGGTCAGGGGATTACATTTTAGGTCCAGCTACCTCCCCTCCTCATGCTTAGAGAACTGAGCTTGAAAGTTTAGTGGGAAGCCAGTTGAGACCCAGCCTCAGCAATCCCACTGGACATCTTCAGCCTGCACCCTTCCTCCAATACCCACCCCCAGTCCTGGACCCTCTTCCTGGGATGCCGGGAAGCCTGCGGCACTGGGAATGACCTAGATGGCTCACATCAACTCGTGGCCTTGTCTCACCATGAGGTCCCTTCGGGTCCCAGGTCCCTTCAGACACTGTCTCTTCCTCTTCTACGGGTGCCCATGTTTCTCTCACCTTAAGGCAGGGGTTCTCCCAGAGTCTCCCAGGTCTGCATGCACCCTGTGGTCTGGAAAACAGCCCCGGACACAGCCCACAGCGCCCTCTGTGTCTTTTCAGAAGGCTGGAAGCAGCTTTTCAGTGCAGTGTCACTACCCTCCCAGAGTCTCAGAGAGGAAGGCACTTCCTTATCCTGAACTTGGGAAGGGTGGGCCCTGAGCCCACAGGGGACAAGTGGAAGGCTTGGGGCTGTTCTTCCAGGAGCTCCCTTCTCCAGCACTCCCTGAAACTCCCTTGGCCCATTTGCCAAGGTGTGGTCATGCGGTCTCGCCAAGATGCAGGGGGTGCCAGAATCTCTAAGGTGGCCCTCGGGTTTTACATGAAGAGAAGTGTTTCATGGGGAAAGGACACTGGGAGACACTGCCTCAGACCAGGGGCACCTAGCTGCTATACTCGAGGAATTCTTAGGACTCTCCAAAAGGTGAGGCCAAACCAATATTCCCTGAGGTCAGTGACCTGGGGACACTTGGGTTGTTGTCCCCCCCCCCCCACCTTCTCTTTTGTCCTTGAGAAGAGACTGCTGTAGTCTTCTTTGCCGCCATCCCAATGGGAGGAGGGCAACAGGGATTCTAGATGGAAGAACAAGTGTGTGTCGGGAGAAGGGAGCTGGCGGGGGTGGGGGCTGGTGCAAGAGAAGCCTGACTTCCCATGACCCCTCCTTTGACCATTTCTGCGGAGACAGCCGAGATTTGTTGCCCTCTCTAGCTCAAATGGAAGGGCTGGATGCCAGATAATGCCAGGCTGGGAGGTGTTGGTGAGGTGAGGAGGCAGTTGGGTAGCTCTGGCCTCTCTCTGCCTCTGCACTTCCCATGCCAGCCTCTGCTGGCCTTCTTCCCCAGGGTGGGTAAAGGTTGTCTTTGCCCCCCTCCGTCTGGCTGAAGCTTCTCATCTTTCTTCTAAGGTGGTGGCCCTAGAAAAGGGCTGAATGTCTAGAGGGGACTCTGCTATTCTAACCTAGATATACCAGAAGTAGCTTTGGGGCCCCTAAAACTCCCCAGGCCCCTCCTCTATAGCCCGGGGCAGCTCTCACAGAGGTTCCTGAAGATGGGGGAGCCAGCCTGCCTGTCTACCGGCTGCTAGCCCAAGGCTGGAGTAAGGCTATCCTTCTGACTTCTAACTCGTCCTTCTTGGTTCCAGATCCCAGGCCTCTGCCTACAGCCCTGCAGCAGCCACCTCTCTGGCACCTGCTACCAACACCAACTACAGTGAGGCCCCTGTGCCCAAGCCCCGGGTTGTGACTACAGCCAGCATCCGACCTTCTGTCTATCAGTCAGGTGAGAGGCCAGAGGGAGAGGGGGCAGTCTAGGCTGGGCATGGGTGCCAGGAGTTGGAAGAGCAAGGTATCAGCTCTGAGGCCACATCCCAAGAAGGGTGGTGATCAGCAAGTTAGGCTTGGCCCCTCTTCTCCCAAGAGAGGGCTAGAATTCTGTGGAGCCACAACTAGCTGTGGGGAGCCAGGTGGGGAGCCAGGAGGGATGGGACCTCCCAATTTTAAGGATGAGGATGTTCCTCGCTTGGAATTTCCAGGATCAAGGTGAAAGAAGAGTGGGTTTCGAGAGGAAAAGTTTGTGGGTCTCCGTTTTGGTTCTAAAAAAAAGCAGCTACGTAGCTATGAGTCACTTGCCACCTGTTCAAGCAGCATCCCTATCTCTACACATCTCATATGCTTCTCGTGTTGTTTATATGGTTATTACATGTTGTAGAGTCGATCCCGACTCTTGGCAATTCAATGTTCAGAACGAAATACCACTCGACCCTATACCATCCTCACAGTTGTTCTTATGTTTGAGCCCATTGTCACAGCTACTGTGTTCAACCCATCTTGTTAAGAGCCTTCCTCTTTTTCAATGCACCTCTATTTTACCAAGCATGATGTCCTTCTCCAGGGATTGGCCTCTCCTGAGAGTATGTCCAACGTGCATGAGATGAAGTCTTGCCATCCTTGCTTCTAAGGAGTATTGTGGCTGTACTTCTGAGACAAGTGTGTTTGTTCCTTTGGCAGTCCATGGTACTTTCAAAATTCTTCACCGGCAGCACAATTTCAATGCATCGATTCTACTGTCTTCCTTATTCATTTCACACGCACAGGAGGCGATTGAAAGGAGATACCATGGCTGGGATCACGTGCACCTTAGTCCTCATAGAAGCCTCCTTGCTTTCCAACACTCTAGAGAGGCCTTGTGCAGCAGATCTACCCAAGGCAATGTGTCATTTAATTTCTAGACCACTGCTTCCATGAGCATTGATCGTGGGTCCAAGCAAGACGAAATTCTTGACAACTTCAATCTTTTCTCCATTTATCATGAGGTTACCTGTTGGTCCAGTTGACATTGACTTTTAATCCATACTGAAGGCTGTGATCCTTATTTCCATCAGTGAGCGCTTCAAGTCCTCCTTACTTTCAAGAAGCAAGATTCTCATAAGCATTCAGAAATCTTGATTGGAGAATAGGGCACAGGATGTACTGCAGAAAGTCCATGGGCACATGGAATTAGAGGACACAAGATTTTCTCACCAACTTTTTTCAGACCCCTCGTACTTTGCTAAGAACTGAGGTTTGGATGGGTCTTTCACTTGTTCTTTGGGTCCTACACTGCCCCAACCTACCCACAGCTGACTGTCCCAATGCACTTGCTCCAGGCAAAGAACACGCAAATGCTCCTGGAGCCGTGCCGCACATCCCTCTGTGGGAGCAGCAGGAAAGGCAGCAGGCTGGACAGCAAATGTCGCTGAGGCAGGAGGGCAGGGCTCAGGCACAGATCCTAGACACAGGGCAGTGAGGCAGCACAGCCAGAGCATTCACGCATTCACTCCATGCCACCTAGGCTTTGGGCCTGACAGGTGGTGCTCAGCAAAGACTTGGGGAGTAAAGGAACAAAGGGCTGAATGAGTGTGAGGTAGGAGGCCTAGAGGGCAGAGGCTGTGAGCTACAATTGAGCTCTGTGCCCTGTGACCCCAGGGCTGCTCCCTGCGGGGTGTCCTGGTGTTCTTCCCATGCCTGGATGAGAGTGCATTTTCCATGGTCGCACAGTTTTCATTTGAAGTGTTATCCCTTCAACGTATTTACTTTTATAACCAGCTTGAATTTAGGGACAGCAATAATGATTTTCCATTTACCTTAGTGATAGAGCCTTTTCTCCTGGCCCACTCCCGCAAGGAAAAAAACAAAACAAAACGCTGACATAAGGGCATGTGGTAAAACTGATAAAGTGAGAGAGCTGACAACTTGTTTGGGAAAGACTGAGGTTGCTAAATTCTGCGGGAGCAGGGAATGGGACACAGGAGGCTTCGCTGTGTTATCATGCAAGAGAGTCAACGTTTGCCGGGCACTCTTGTTGCCGGACAAACCAACTGCACACGCATGTCCTGATAAGGAACACTGAGACACTGGAAACAAGACTGGGAGGGAATCAGGAAGGGCTTGCCTTAGGCGAGCCTGGATTTTTATGTGTAAGGCTGGGAGGCCCCAACAACTCTCTTACAAAGGCCCATTCTGATGGCATCGCTGTGTGTGGGTGTTCAAAACAGCCGTAGCGTCAGACTCCCATGGCCATGTAAGGCGCGCGGTGCTTCAGCTCTCTGGGCCTGTGTCTCCTACTTCCAAACATGCGATGACACTCCGTACACTTCGTCTTCTCGGGACTGAATGACGTACTTGGCCCAGACAGTGCTGGCCACTCTGCAGGAGCTGCCCTGGGCCGCTCCGGAGGCCTGCCTGGAGGTGTTACACAGCGATTGCTGAGCTTTAAAATCTACAGGATTAGGAAGCATTTTGGAAGGGGTAGCAATGGCGAGACATCTCAGATGGCGCTCTGGTTTTCCTTTTGCCAGCCGCCCGGCTCAGATGGGGTGCACAAGAGGAAGGGTGGAGGGGGCGTTTGGATGGGAAGCAGCAGGGGGTGCAAGGAGGGCCTCGCCTTCCTGGCGCTGTCCGAGCTCCTCCTCCGGGCCGACCCTGCTTGGCATCTTCCGGGGCGGGCCCGCAGCCTCCGGGCCCGCGCCGGGCGCCTGCCTGCCCGCTAGGGGCAGCGGTGCCCGCACCTGGCCGCCGCGTCGGGAACGCCTGCTCCAGGGCCGGGGCCTGGCGGGCCGTCGGGAAGGGGTGGGGGCGGAGAGGCGGCCCGCGGCCCCCGCG